CAGATCGTGTGCATCTTCAAAATATCTGCCAAGTTCCCCAAGCTCAACAGTTTGTGGATGAAATATCACGGCCAGTGGCTGCTGATCACTGGGGTATTTTTGGCTCAGGCAGTTTTACTTGTCATTAGCTTTTCCTTGGATCCTCCCACACCTTACAATGAAACCACATGGTACAAAGACCAAATCATATGTGGTTGTGCCTTTAATCTTCAAGTAAACTCTTTTGCTTTATTTTTTGTTGCAGTATTGTCTTCTCTCTGCTTTTTTTTCTCATACATGGGAAAAGATCTCCCAAAAAATTACAACGAAGCCAAAGCTATAACCTTCTGCCTCCTCCTGCTGGTCCTCACCTGGATCCTCTTTTTCACTGAGTACATGCTTTACCGTGGAAAAGACCTCTTCACTCATAACGCCCTGGCTGTACTGTTGAGCCTTTATTACTTTTTGGTGTGGTATTTCCTCCCAAAAGGCTACATCATCATGTTTCAACCCCACAAAAACACACAGCAGTACTTTCAAGGCCTCATTCAGAGTTATACCAAAGCATTTAGCCAGTAGCTGCCACTTCTGATGGTTACAGGCTTCAGATTACATAGGTTAAAAATGATTTCACTTTTTTTTTTAATGGATGATGTTTGAACCTCAAAATGGCATCTTTTTTTTTTATTTAGATAATTCTACTTTGTCAGAAGTTTAGATTTCAATTTCTAGCATGTTGATATCTGACATTACTTGACCAGTCTGTTAATACGGCTAAGTAGATTAAAAGGACATTCATACATATCAGAATAAATCTATGATTTATTATTCATTCTTTAAGCTTGAATCTTTTTTTTATCCATACTTATACATATTTATTCATTCATAATATGTCATCCTTCAGGATTAGTGATTAACTCGAAGGGGAAACAAGGTGTATTTAGTGGTTTAATGGCAGAATAATCTCCGTTATGACTGACAATATTAGATCACAGTAAAATTATGTTAATCCATCAGACTACAATCAGCCTTAGATCTGAATGGAAAGACAGCAAAGAAATACTTCTATCTGTTGCTTTCTGAACATCCACAATCTTCAAAAAGTTATTCAACTTTTAGGTGAATTGTTTCTATAGTTGGGCTGCGATTAACCTTTAAATCGTTCATTTTCTAGTTTTCTGAGGGCCAATCCCTTCCTACCATGCAGAACAAGGTGTTGCACCCTTGCACCTGTTGCATATCTACATTCAAATTCAGGTTACAGCAAAAGCTATTTATCACTCATCTGCTGAGTGGTTGCAAATTTCTGCATTGAATAAATCACCCATGTGGTCTCCTGTTTAATTGTGCAGGAACCATTGGCAGGAGGAGGTGGTCTGTCCACATAAACTGACCATGTCAGGTGAAATGAACTGGTGCACTTTTGCTTGAGACCATATTCTATTTAATCTTATACCTAAGTAAACATGGTAGGGATGTGCTTTTTAGTACAGGGAGTTGGCTCAGGCCTCGGAATATAATATTCAAATAAAACCCAAGTGAAAAAGTAACATGTGCTCTCATTTAGACGACTGGTCTTTATAAACACATTATGTAACGGTTACCGGCCCAGATTACAACCTAATATACGTCATTTGGGATGGGCCTTTTTGCTGTTTTATTTTGATTTGTGGCTCAATTGTGGATCTAGATGCATGACCTCCTGAAGCAGGTGGTCAGCACTTCTATTACCACGTTGTTTTGTCTTGTTTTTAAGTGGAACATGAACAATAACTGTGTTTCTCCAGGGACTTTAACACAGATTAATATAAGACAGTGCCATCAAAAATAACAATTCTGAATGAAGATCTCATTTTACAACAACCTGGTCCAGGAACAGGGGTTAGGATTATGCCCCTTCCTCTAGAGAAAGAGTTTGAGAGGAAGTCATACTTGACATGTAACTACAAATGTCATATTTTCGGTTGAGACCGTAAAGTTCTACATGTCTAGATGTCGTTTCCAAATATGTGTCAGTGCTGGTTGACTATGTGTGTGTAAGACTGACATCAGGGAATGGAAGAGACAAATATAGCTGATAGCGGGATAGTTGGTCATTCACCATCTGCTGTTAGCGTCCATGGCTCATGCTGACAGAGGCATTCATCTACGTCGTTTGTGGTGTTCGCCAAGCTTTGGGCAGAAACACTCAAGGCATGTTTGCATATCGATTTGTTAGAACTCCTTCAACCGTTTCCAGGTAGGATTTGTCAAATGACACGCACTAGATCTTGTATGGAAATTACAATGGCTCTTAGCGTATAACAATCAGAGGTAAACATCAGGCTGGTAAAAGGAGGATCTACAGCTATGAAACAGAGATGAGGCGCTCTTTTGTTATTCTGCTCCTACAGGGAGCTTTCCTGCGTGCTTTGACTCAGTGCAAAGCTCCAAGCTCTGAGTTTCATCTGAAGGGGGATCATTTGATCGGTGGACTTTTTGACATTCATTTTGTCAGTGACCGCTTTTATCACGACAGACCGGAAGCCATCGACTGCTCCAGGTGAGACCAGCTGGGTGTGCCTCTGGCACCGAGCCGCCAATTCCTTTCTGAATAAATTCTATAGAAAACATTGAGTCTGATCTGTTAGCGCTGGAAGCGCTGCAGCAAATCTCCTGAAATGAAATTAGGATTCGAGTTGTAAGAGCTCAGCTCGCTCTCCCGTCTTTTCCACAGTCAGCGCTTCAGTCCCTCCAACTACCAGAGGTTTCAGTTGATGAGGTTCTCCGTCGAGGAAATCAATAATTCCACCCACCTGCTCCCGAACGTGTCTCTCGGCTATGAGGTATTTGACCACTGCTCAGACACACTGAGTTTTCCAGGGATTTTCAAACTCCTCTCCGTCAATGGCCTGATCCGGCCTTGGTCAGACCCACTCAAGTATCTGCCTGAGGTCATAGCGGTCGTGGGTCCTTTCACCAGCACTCAGGCCCTGACTGTGGCCCCCCTATTCATGGGGGATCTCATTCCCATGGTGAGCGTTGACCGAACAGTCGTCTGTGTCATATTCCGACATTTGTATCTTTCCCCTGTGACGATTCATTTCTCTCCAACTGTTTTTTTAAACAGGTCAACTATGGATCTTCAGTTTCTGCTTTTTCGGAAAAGGTTAAATTTGCGTCCTTCTTACGAACAGTGCAACCAAACAGAGACGTCATAGAGGTGTTGGTTCGGATACTGCAGCACTTCAGCTGGAGCTGGGTTGCTTTCCTAAACACTGACGACGAGTACGGCACCGACGGCCTGGACTTGTTCAGGAAGAGGATCAAGGACACCGAAATCTGCTTGGCCTATGCCGCAGATCTCAATACCCACACAGACTACTCTGAGACGTTTAAACTCATAGACCGAGGTGGAATACAAGTCATTATTGTTTTTGCCCCTGAATTGGCGGCAGAGGCTCTCATTCAGTCAGCCATTAGGCTGAATGTCACAAAGAAGGTGTGGATAGCGAGTGACGCGTGGTCCTTAAACAAAAGGCTGCCAAAGACGAAGGGAATAGAAAACATTGGAACCGTTCTCGGGGTGGCTCAGCCAATAACGACGATACCTGGTTTCAGAGATTTTATCCTCTCTTCCAAAAGCCAGATTCAGTGTCTCAATGACGAGGGGCAGAAATTTTGCAATCAGGTTTGCAACTGCAGTCTCTGGAGCTCCGGAGATATCCTCGATTCCGACCCGTCTTTCTCTTTTTCGGTTTATTCTGCCGTCTATGCCATTGCCTATGCTTTACACAACACCTTAAAATGTGGACAAGGCGGGTGTAAAAACATCACAGCATACCCACATTTGGTAAGTACAACGGTGGGGGTTTGAATGAATGACACAAATAAAGAGGCCTTGCTTTTTATCAACTAAAAAACTTTTTGTCCATCTAACATCAAAGTCATTCAGTATAGAAGAGATATATACAGCAAATTAAAGCATATCAGGCAGGAAAAAGTTTCAATTCTGCTATAGGCCTCTATAAAGAGATAGTGGTTTTTGGGACTGGAACAAATTTTGAGTAAAATCACCATTTTGTGATGTTTCTGTGAAGCTTTCCTGGTGAATACAGAGCTGATGGTGCCATTTGTCCCATCCGTGTCAGGTTCTGGCAGAGCTGCAGAGGTCCAACTTCACGCTGCTGAACCGCACGGTGCAGTTTGATAAGAACGGTGACATGGCGTTTGGGCTCTACTCGCTGGTCTTCTGGAACCGCAGCGGTCATGCGCAGACGGTCGGATATTTCAAATTTCACCCAACAGTGAATTTTGTCATCAACGGCACTGAAATTTTGTGGTACACAGGTGGAGAGGTTAGTATTCCCCTCCCTGTTTGAGCATGAGGAAATATGTGAGCTGATTCGCTTGTGCCGTTTAAGCATTTTGTTTAGCTGTCCTCTAAAAAATCAATGTGTAAATAGTTTAAAAATACCATGTCCTCCATTTACAGCCATGACTCACTTTTGCTTGTTTTGCTTCATTGGTGTCCTACAGGTTCCTACGTCTGTGTGTTCTCCAGAGTGCTCTGAGGGATACGCCAGGAGCCAAGACGGAATCCACAGGTGCTGCTTCAATTGTGAAATCTGCCCAGCTAGAACATACATCAATGTCACAGGTAGAAGATAATATATTTTTTTAATGGAGGAAGAAGTAAATCAATCCAGGGCTGTAATTCTCTATTCTTTTTCTTTGCTCTTAAAAGGCCAACTAAACTAATATAACCCATCCTGAGCCGATTATGAAAAGTGCCCCATTAGACTATTTTTTATCCAGATAGGATATGCATCTAGATAGGGCCTCTGTGTTTTCCCAGCAGTGTGACATCTTTTAATCCAGACAGGGTGAGATTTTTGAGATGTTGACTGATGTGTCTGCCTCCACCAGAGGACCCCTACAGATGCATCCCCTGTCAGGACTCAGAGTGGGCGGCAGAGGGAAGCACGTCGTGCAGCCTGCGGCTGGTGGAGTACGTCCCATTCTCAGACACCAGTGCCGTGGTCATCCTGGCTGGAGCCTGCGTCTTGGTGGGCCTCATTCTGGCCGTGTCTGTTCTCTTCACCGTCCACTACAACACGCCTGTTGTCAAGTCGGCCGGAGGACCCATGTGCTTCTTAATTCTGGGCAGCCTCTTTCTGTGTACTTTCAGTGTGTTTTTTTACTTCGGTGTGCCCACAGAAGTGTCTTGTGCCCTCAGGTACTTCCCATTTACTTTACTCTACGCAATTTGTTTGGCATGTTTCTTCGTGCGTTCTTTTCAGATCGTGTGCATCTTCAAAATATCTGCCAAGTTCCCCAAGCTCAACAGTCTGTGGATGAAATATCACGGTCAGTGGCTGCTGATCACTGGGGTATTTTTGGCTCAGGCAGTTTTACTGACCATCAGCTTTTCCTTGGATCCTCCCAGACCTTACAATGAAACCACATGGAGCGCAGATCAAATTGTGCTTTTTTGTGAGTGGAATATTGCAACTGCAAGTTATGCTTTTATTTTACTGGCAGTTTTGTGCCTTCTTTGCTTTATTTTCTCTTATATGGCAAAAGATCTCCCAAAAAATTATAATGAAGCTAAAGCAATAACTTTCTGCCTCCTCCTGCTGATCCTCACCTGGATCATCTTTATCACAGCGTACATGCTTTACCAAGGTAAATACATCCAGACTCTAAATGCTCTGGCTGTGCTCTCCAGTCTGTACTCTTTCATTTTGTGGTATTTTCTGCCAAAATGCTACATCATCCTTTTTCAACCCCACAAAAACACAGCACAGTATTTTCAAAGTCTGATTCAAAATTACACCAAAACAATAAGTCAGTAGCTGCCTGCAGGAAAAACAAGGGGGGAGGGGGAGAAGGGCTTTTATCTAAGATATCCAGAGTTTGAACTTGCAGAGATATTCAGGGATATCTTAATGATTGCATGGAAAAGCAATAAGCAATTGTATCTTTTTTAAACTGTTGAGCCTGTCATCATAAATGATAAACTATAGACAATAAAGTCTATCCTTTAAAATTCCCTTTTGCCTTGTTTTTCCAACCTTAAAGGAAAAATTAACAAAACAACGAAAAAAATCTTTTTACAGTTACATGATCTGCAAAAGTCCTCATATTAAGAATGTGTGCTCCTATAGGCATCAGAATAGAAATTGTATGATGGAGTATATATTTAAAAAATGTGATAGGCTTGCTTTTTCAATAAGTTATGCATGTATAAAATGGGCATGATAAATTTCCACATAATGTTTCTTAATTTAGATTTTTCATTGTTTGTAAACGGATGCTATCTGACTACAGACTATGAGGAAATGTCTGCTACTCTGATGTCCTCATTTGAAGTTTCTGTTGTCTTTCCACATGATGGCACCACTGCACAGTGATGCTGCAGAACACAAAGCAGGCCATGCTTTTGGCTTTACTTCGCCTTCATATTGGTTCACAATAATTAACGCCGCCTAACAAATATATATTTTTTCTCCACACAAATCCTGCATGGAACCGTTACAAAGCGACCAAATCATACATTTTCTTTATCTGAAACCGAGTTGTGTTTTCAACATTTTTGTGCTTTTTACACTTTGTTTCTGACAATCTTTTAAAAATAATCAAGTTATTACTGGACTGATAATAAAAAGAAAACAGGTATATATTAAAGTTGAAACATGCTGATTGTGTTTAGTGCCATGAAAACACAGGCAGCAGGTCTCCATTAAAGCCAAAGCACTGACCATCTTTGTCCAGATATTAGCATTAAAACATTTGCTTGGTCAGTTTTATCCAAGCGGAACTTACTTAAATAAATTCGATTGTAGATTAGATCATCATAGAAACATTTAGTTATTTTGTTAGGAAGCATTCAGTGTCTCTAAAGACCTGGTGAGCAGGCTCTGTGTATCTGTCATTCTGGGTTATGGATTGTCACAGCTGTTTTTTGTTTTGTTTTATGCAAGGGGGACAGGGGGGGGCTAACCTGTGGCCAGCACTCGACCATTCCTTTCTTCATTTAGGAGTCAGAGTCTCACGCCGTGACGCTCAGTGGGGCAGGGCTGCCCCTCCACGTGAAACGGAAAGAGCCCTGCAGCAGGGGGTAGGCGCTCATTTCAGCGGGTAAATTGCTATTTTGTTGCATCTTTTCAGCTTTCAGGCCAGGAAAAAGGGAGGATGGACCGTGAAACTAGGAACGAATTGGTCCTTAAAAAGTGCCACTTAGCATGGCATATGGCGCGTTAGGAGAGCGGAACACTGGCACCAACAAATTGACAATTTCATACCAATTCTAGAGTAACACTCACCACACACGATGCAAAGTGGGGGGAAAAACTCCAGCGTTTACAGGTGTTTTTCATATTTGAGCATTCCATTAGTGTCTCCCCTCAAAGACGAACGATTCTTCTCCAAGTCAAGATGCAATATTCTAAGATATACTGGCTGTATTTAATAAAATAACTAATTGTTTTTTAAACCTTCATTGCAAAACGCTTGTGTTTTGTTAATTTATTTATTTTACCTTTTTTTTTTTAATAAATTCAAACTAAATAAGCTAATTCCTCCTAAGATTTCTGCTGAGAGGACACATATTTCTGTTATACAAAATATAGACCGAGGAAAATTGGAGGAACGCCCCAGGGCTTTTCAGTTGTAGCTTTCAATTTTCCACTTTACCCAGATAAAGAGAAAACCCTGGGAAAGTCTTGGCCAACTGTTGCTCCATCCTTTTGCTCCCAAACCAAAAACAAAACCTCTTAAATGGCCTTTATTTGCATTTGGTGGCCATATGGGATCTGACTTCAAACCATTCCCTTTCCTTCAGTTTGAAAAATGTCGCTGTGTTGCACTTTTTTCTGTCTTGATCACCACTCAACATTTCAGAATTGGTCTTTAGACTTCATATTTTACATTTTCTAAACGTTCAACTCGAAATATGGCCTTCCTAAATTATTTTCCCCTACTCCGCTTGATTGATTAATCTAAGGCTGCAAACAGACCATCAAAACCGCCTACGTAAGAATCAGATCTGCTGCCATTAAAGAAAAACGTTTCTCTTTAAAGTTGGAAAGGGTTTAATCTCACTCCAAACGCATAATATCCTTAGGTTGCTCGTAACTGTTGTTTTTACGCACGAATAGAGACAGTCCACCAAAGACTTCTTGGTTATTCTCATTCAAATCTCGCTCTCGTCGGTCAGAGTAAATGGCAGATGTTTTGCAATTCAAGGCGCATCAATGCCCATGCGCTTTCGTCCTTAACAAAGGCGTGCTCCTTTTGTTAGGCTCCTGTGTCTTTCACTTTGGAGCCCAACAAAGGCTTCATCCTCCAGCGAGTTATAAAGTTACTTTCCAGTCAGTTCATTTCGGCTCTTGAGAAAACCTTAAGCGATGTTAATGTGCACCTCTCCGCTTTTCATGCGCTAACCCCGGCACACACGGGGCAAACTGCGGCCATTGTGTCCCCAAACCAAAGTAAGAAGTCTTTAAATAACCCCAAGACCAGTCTATAGAAATTCATGACGCCGTTTCTATTTGATGTTTGATCAGAGCTTTGCCAACACGTCCGTCGCGTGGCTTTTCAGCAAATCCTGTCAATATTTCTGATATTTATTTTGCCAGCGCACCTGTCCGCGTACCTGTCTCTTTGCTGTGGCCTTGTTGCGCACAATGAGCGTTTAGGTCACAGCAGTGCGGCGTGAATCTGGCTGAATGGAAGGCGGTTCATCGATTTGCTTCGCTCGTAGTGCGCCAAATTAGGGAGCAGAGCTGCATATTTTAACACTGGCCCGCAAACCTGCCGCCGATCACAACCTACACAAGAAATGAAAAAAAAAAGTCTAAATGGAGAATTGTAAACTGCAGTTTAGATTATGAAAAAGCTCATCGTGCAAATGCATTGTAAATGGTTTTACATTCGGTGTCAAATTACATGGAAAATAACTTTTGGTATACATTTCATGGCACATTTCGTTGGCATCTCTCGCCATATTCTAAAATAAAATCGGACAGAAAATAAATTCCCCTCAAGTAATTTAATGGATGAAAACCCCAGTGCATGTCTCCCTTTATTTAATCGGTTCTGTTGGTGATCACTGAGACGCATTGGCTTGCAAATGCATCACTTCCCCTTTGAAAACTGTTTATTGCGGTAATTGCGTAATTGCTTCACTAATTGTTGTTAACAAGTCCCCCAACAGTCCAATTATTACAGCAGCACTGTCGGGTCCCCTCCGGCCAGAATCCATGACAAAGGTGCGGTAGGGTTAATGAATGACCTGAGGCTGAAAAGCCAGTGCAGAGAGAAGGCCCGCAGCCTTTTATAAACATACACTTAACTTGTTATTTAATGGCACTTTGTCCATTTGTGACACAGGTTTCTCGCTGCGCTTTTCTCGTGGATATATGAAGGCTTATATGACAGAAAGGAGGTTGTAATGGTCACCGTTTTCACTTGAAAAGACTTGTCAGCAAACCAATGCATTCGTTTGGCAAACCTCTGTTCCAGATTCCTTTGATCCAAAAGGGAATAGCCAACACAAATTGGAATTATGGCGCGTAATCACGGTGAAATCTCCTCACCGTGGCACAATAACAAGACAGGAGGCTGTTGTGATGGCACGACTCACGCTGAAATCGACCCTCCATGGTCCTGTGATAAAAAAAAACAAGCGTGAAAGCGCAGATAATGTGGCACAGAAGTGGGACAAAAGACGCCAGAGACACCACTTATACCAAACCATCCCGTTCAGATTTCATACCAATTAAATGCTCTAGTGTGTGGCGTCACAAACGTGTCAGGCAATGTTTTGGGTTTTTTAACGCAATTAGTGTTTCCTGACAGCCACAACCGTGTTGTGTTTGAGAGGCTTCTGTGCGGGGCCAAAGGCCAACGTTTACGCTGCAGCATTAAAGCCCCTGCTGCACATGTAAAACGAAAATAATCCACATTAAAAATGCATTCAATGCAGTCTGATTATCCTACAAAACCTACAGCTGGGAGGAATTTTCCAAATCCCTCTGTGGTCACAAGGAAGACTAGGAAGGTGAATGTATTTCAATAACACGTTTTATGTATCCAAACAGACAAGAGAAACGGCAGTGTAATGTGGACCCAAGATTAAACCAAGAGGAGATCTTATGGAACTCCGTTTCTACAAAGCAAAAGCAAATGTGTCTGATTATTAAGGGGTACCAAGTCTGTCGATCATTTTACCCCGAGGTTGGAATTTTGATATGGTCAAATGTTGACACAAGAAACGCGGTTGCAGTAGGTGAGCCTCAAGTCCGCGCATTGTTTGAGGTGGCATGACATTCCCAAGATTTAACCCTTTTCAGAGAGCGGTGTGGAAAATCGGGAGGCGAGGGACCAAGAACAGGGGGCGGCCCGCGATTCTCCTCGGTGCCTCTCTGAGCCTGGTATGAAGACAAAAAGTGGTGACGCACAAAAGCCAAAGAATCCTTAAAGAGTGAACGTGCCTTTAAAAAGTTTCTATTTAAGGTATGTTTTTTTTCTCTTGCACCGCTTAAGGTTCCACGTGTTTGGTTGTTTGATGTGTCCCAAATGTGAAGCCATGCCGTTTGTCTAAATGGAAGCAGGAGGCTGAACCCGTGAGGTTTCCCAGGTGCGAGACGCTTTACTACCAGAGACCACCAGAAAATCGAAACGTTGTGCAGACATGAGGGGAATTACCACGGTGCTGCCTTCGACCTGCTGGCGTGAAAATGGCCTTTAAAAGACTGAATACAGGAGTCAATAGTGTCCAGGCTGCACACCGAGCTGAACCACTATGTTTATGTTTGATCATTCCCCCCTTCTTTTCACTTTCTGTACCCCTACACGATGACTGGGTATAATGCACTCTGTGGGCAGCAGACTGTAGGCTGTGCCTCATTTTTCTGTGCCCATGGGGAACAAACGAGCAGGTTTTTGTATATTAACACACACAAACACAGTCTAAGTCCAGGTCACATGTGTTATTTGGTTCTGTTAAAAGAATGTCTAACCCTACCCCCTTTCAGTCTGCAGGTCTCAAATCTGTTTAGGGAAATAATAAAGAAATTCTTAAATAAGTCAAAAGTTATACATCTGCCAAAATGTTCAAATTTTTGGGGTGATTCTGCCCCTTTTGCTCGTTTTTTGCTGTTAAATGGCGCCAGTGTTTCTCATTTGATGGCAACAGGCAGGCGGTGCTGTTTGCATTGAGATGTTAAGTGGGTGTCTCTATATAAATGCACTCAGGATAAACTCCCTCTCTATTGACACCAGACAGTGTGAGAGATTAACCTCGAGGAAACTCCAAAAAAAGGGACATAGAATGGTGGCAACGATAGACTGCGTGGAAAAATCCAAACCCACAGCTGGAAACAAGGTTTGCAGAAATAATAAGCAGAGAATCATTATGAAGGAGTAATTACAGAAATTATTTAATTTTGATGTGTGTGGGTTTTTTTAACATCACTTTTCTCACACAGGTTTCCAAACCACTGATGGAAAAGAAACGAAGGGCTCGAATAAACCAGTGTCTGGACGAGTTAAAGACTCTTTTGGAGAGCTACTACAGCAGCTGTGTGAGTATTTCTGGGCAACAACTCAGGGAACTACAAAGAGAAATCTATTCACATTTTGATATCAGTCTAAAAGCAGGTATGATCATTATTTGGCGAAACTATATCTAAAAAGATCCCATTTCTCACCAGATTCGAAAACGCAAATTGGAAAAGGCCGACATCTTGGAGCTAACTGTGAAACATCTGAGGAACCTCCAAAAGATCCAGAGCTGTGAGTTGCACATCACTTACCTCTGCGCCTTTACGCACGATGACGTCACGGTTGCGCTCGTCTTGGCGCTCTGATTCCGTTTTCTGACCCCCGTGGTTTTTTTTCTGTGCCTCTCTCAGGCTCTGCCGCCGCCTCCGAGTGTCCGGATTACCAGTCCGGGTTCCGCAGCTGCCTGGCCAACTTCAACCACTACCTGCTAATGGCGGATCACCTGAGCGGCAGGGACCAGTGGACGTTGGCGCGGGTCTCCAACGCGCTGGGCCGCTCCTGTGGGAGGGGGGAGGCGTCCAGCACCATGGACAGCGGCACGGTCACTGGCACAGACGCGCAGGACGAGGCGCGGAGGCCTGCGTCCGCGGCCGGACCCGCGGAGCCGCAGGCTGCCCAGCGCAAAGCTCCCGGACGCCAGAGCGAGGACGCGTGCCACTTTTCTGGCCCCAAACCGCCCTCAGAATGTGCACGCACGTCAAATTCTGCTCGGGACGACTCCGGTTTCAAGAGCTGTGTCGACCGTGGGGCCCCAAACGCACCGCGGAGCGTGTGGCGGCCCTGGTAGATGGACCCCTGGAGCCAGACTGAATGTTTATAACTGCACTTTTTTGTTGTTGTTAGAGGTTTTACTGTATATGCATAATTTTATTAATAAAAGTGTCAACCGTGTGATTATGTTAATCAGCCTTAACTTCCAATTTTCTGGAGGAAAAATAAACTTAACCTAACAGAGATGTGACCAATTAAAATAATTAATAATATTAGATATTGAAATAAAAAAGGAAACGGTCTAATACTTTTGACGAAGTTCTGGGGGAAAAAATTCAAAGGAAGCTCCTAAGAAAATTTAATTGGGCAGGGGGGGGTCAATGAAGCAGTGTCAGTGCTGTTTTTTTGTTGTGTGGGCTCAGAAGACTCATCTCAAAGTGGCCTGCTGCCATATTCTTCACTTTTAACTTGCTGGCCATCACACTGAGAAACAATTAAGACTTATAACTAATCTGCATCAACAACTAAACATCACTCTTGATTTGGGCAAGTGACCAGGGGGCACAAACACAAAATTTCACAAAACACAAGCAAAATTGTCCAGAGCTCAGATGATAAAACAAATAACGAAAAAAAAGTAAACATGACAAAATGTGGCATAAGATTATCTAAATGAGACACTAAATAAAGATTTATGTCAGAAACCTAAGTTATTTGATAATCAGGTCATTTTCAGCATTTCATATGTTTTATTCCCTGCTTTCTTAATCAAACCTGTCTATATTTAATTACTGTGCACTTCATGAAAATTGGAGGCAGAAAGTAAACTTCGTGTTCTTCTGCTTCGTTTTGACTGCAGGATTTTTACTTTTAGTCTTGCTCCTCAATGGTACAAATATGGAGAAGTTACACTTCTCTCCCTTCTGTGTGCAGTTAAGTTTCCTTTTTTTCAAATGACCCAGGAGAGAGGGGTTTTTCTTTCCTCTATTCATCGTTAGTTTCACGCATAAGTACCGAAACAGCCGCGCTGAAATCAGACACTTGTCCGACAGCGAAACAATTTTATGCTCCAGGCTGAAAATTACACGCTATTACGTCTTTTATGGATGAAGGCAGTGGTTTAAATAAAGATAAACGTGCTTATCCGTAGAGTTATAGGACCAGTTTAAAGACAAACTAGTTATTTCTGATATTTAGTCTTGGCTCATGTCATAAAAGCCTTCATGTTTATTTTTCCTGACATTTTGCTAAAAATAATATGCATGGTCATGTTTCCCCCCAGATACGCACAGTGTAACGTTTAATCCAACACAGGTGTCTCAGTCACCATCAGTTGTTTGGGGACAATCAGAGAAGCTCCACAGCTCCGTTTTGTTGTGGTAGCATCGGGAACATGACGGACAGTCTACCTCTCATTCAGCCCTTCTGGAGTCTCATTGACGGTGACGCCATAAAGCGTCTCCATTCCGGAGGCGCGGTCCCTGAAGGCACCTCGCTGCGAGGAGAATCGCTGGAACGCCCACGCGTATTTTGCAGGACACCCCCGGAAAAGGGCGCCAACCAGGGCCATCTCTGTGCAGGATGGGCTTCAGGAAGATCCCCCTGCTTTGCATAAGACTGAGGCCAGTCGAGCAGATTTAAGAGGGCAGACGTGGACGAAGCGCGCGGCAGAGCCTCTTCCCTCCCTGTGCCTGATGTACCTGTCATTGTAATGCTGCTTAAAGAGTCACAATCTTTATACTCGAGTTGCGCAAACTCAACCCCACGTGGTTTAGACCTGCATGTGCAACCGGGTGAGTAGATCACCTGCACCAAAACCCCAAATGAAACCGTTTAAATCAAGCATTTCCTAGTAAAAGGTAGTACATCAGGGAAGGAGGGGAAAGGAATGAAATGCAAATTGACAGAAATGGGCTTGTGTTCGATTTCAAAACTGGAAGGACAGATTCTTATGGTGGGCTTTAAAAAGTGGGAGGTGCTTGACGTTGTATTCTGTAGGACCCAGTGCATCCAGATGTTTTGAAAGCAAGCCATAAAACAGAGTGGAAATGTCTTTCCTGATACTGTATGACACACTGACCTCTGACCTCAGGCGGAGACGTGCTGAGGACCTTCAATCGGTGAATCCTCCCGGTTCCTGTACAGCCAACAAAAACAAGCAAAAAACGTCTGCTGGCTCTTTTAAAAGCGACTAGGCTGCATGTTTGAGTCCTTTGTGGACTTAAATCCCGTCCCGGTCGTGGTGTCCGTCCATCAGGATGTGGGCAGCAGGCGAACCCCGCACCGAAAGGCTTCAGCCTGGATTCAAACCAGCAGCCAGCGCCAACGCACATCCTTCCAAGACCTCTCCTCTCCTGTGAAAGCCACATAAGAAGTTCACACAATCACCAGGACAGCGCACACTGCACTCTGCAGACGGTCGACCGCTACAACAAGAAGCCGCGTCGGTTTGAAAACACACTCTCACGCGTCTTCTGGTGAATTTAATCGATCATCTCTTTTTAACAAAGCCATCAGCTCGACAAGAAAAATCATAACATTTAACATCATTCGTATTGGAGTCACACACCTTTGAATATGTTACAAAATAATGTCGGAATATTGCAAACACAAGAAAATGTAAAAGGTCTATGACGGCAAAGTCTGACAGGGGGGGCGTGACCTAATGCCTCCAGAGATACATTTCAGACATCGGGCCCAGTGGAGCGGCTGAAAAGTGAGTGAGGCCTACACAGACTGTGAGGATTAGACTGAACTTTTCAACGATGGTGAAAACAGGAATGCTCAAAAACGTGCAACTTTTTTTTCTTTTTCTTTTTTCATTTTTTACTTGGAGCGCCGTAGCAAACTCTTTTCATAATAAGGCTGTAACGGGGGATATTTTTCCTTTGTTTTTTTCCTCGGACTATTGTAACTTGCACCTTATTAGTGCAAATACATTCACATGAGCAGCAACTGTCCAGATAAGGTCAAAGCTAAAAAGGTGCTTTTGTTCAGTAATTCTATTTGTTTTCTATCGCTTTGGAGAGGGGAAAACGTTGCTTAATAAGCACTGATGGTGCATTTTCTAATTCTGTTTGTGATGTTAAGAAAGAAATCCCACTCGCTCCCCAAATGCATGTTTCCAGAAACAAACGTAAGCCTCATTCTTCTTTGGGGTCCACTTTGAGGTCTCTTGTTAAAGGTCTTAAAGATTGGTTTGATTGGGGTGTTTAAAAACTTATCAGACTAAGTGTGTTAGTTCTGTTGTGTGTTAGAAGATGACGAGATTACACTTTGTGCTTTGTTTTTAATCAATTTAGTACAACATCAGCATTTAAGTTTAACTTTTTCTTAAAATAACTAAGTTCCTAAAACAAATAAGAAGTGAAGTTGTCTGATAGGATGAAGCACAATTCTTTCCTATCGGTCTGGTGATTTGATCTGTGAGCTCCGAAGTCAAACAGGAAGAAGGGAAATCTTAACACAAAAGTGTTGTTTAACTAAAAACACCCTAAAACAGAAATCCAGCATCCTTCCTATGTACATAGCATCTTCCATTGCCTTTTAGGGGTTTCGTTAAATCTTAATATCTCACACAGAAACTGTTGGGCTCCTTAAAGTTTTGGGAATACGACTCATTTCACTTAATTTCACAAAATATGGTGCTCAAAAAAGCTTTGTGTGTGCTGCGAGTAACATAAATGTAGATTTTTTTAAAAATCTGACATGATCATGATAAAACAAGTATGTAAAATGCATCATGTCTTTCAACAACCTCAAAGGGAAATGCGCAGTTTTTAGGAAAGTTTGTGTCCAGACAACAGAAACACACACTAATTACAGGCCAATTAAAACAACAACTCCGGTCAAGTTTATAAGTGTCAAAGAAAAAGAAAAAGACATCCTGACCAATATCTCTGAAAATCCTTTCATAAGAAACAATATCAAACAGCAAAAGCAAGAGTAAGGGATGTTCACACGATTTAAAAAGAGTCAGTTGTGCAAGGAGAAAAGTGTTCTACGGAGGAAACGTTGTAGGGTGAAAGCTGAACAGCTGGACCTGCTAACACGTCTCCAGCCGACTCTTCAATTCAGGGCCCATTCAGAAAAATATGTCCCAAAATCCTAAGGCCATTTAGCAGAACAGATTTTATTTCGGTAGTAAAACTACCAGGACGGTGACACGTGTAAAAAGGCTGCTTTGTTCCAGCATGTCACCTTTTTCTTGAAACACTGATATCCCAGAGGTTTCATCGTGATATTAACTTCGGTAATAGTGCTGATATCAACAGAGGGGGCTTTGCTCTCAGGTGGTGGAGCCCACCGAATCGGAGTGGAAGGTGATGTATCCCGAGGACGACGCTGAGGGTGTGCTTACAAAACTGTTTGTGCTTCCTTTGCTCTCAGCCTTGCTCAGGTGCTTGTGGTGTCCCCACTCGGCTCCAGCGCCACCCGCCGCACCTCCGCCTGTCCTGGGCCTGTTGGAAGAGTGTCCCTGAGTCTGCCGGCTGCCGCCAGGGGAGCCCGCGTCGCTTTGCGTTCTCCCGTCCCGCCGGCGCTCTCTGCAGCCTTTGGCGGAGCCGCAGGCCCCGGGGCTCTTCTTCCCGGAGGGCCTGTCGGGTTTGGGCGAGCCCTCGGGCGAGTTGCCCCTGCTGCTGCTGCTCCGCTTGTGTTCCGAGTGTCGCCTGAGCGCCTGGGGCTCGCGCTCAAAGTCTGTGAGCAGGAAGTGGGGAAGGAGGACGGTGTGCTGCTCATATACATTGGGGATGAGGGAGATGGTGGAGGTGCGGCGCGGGCTCTTCCTGGGGCTCGGCAGTGGCGTCTCGTCTATGAAGTTGATGACCTCGTCGCGGCTGAAGCACCGCAGCTCGTCCTCGTAGCGCTCCCCCCCGCAGACTACGCGGGGCAGGTGCTTGAAGGAGTGCATGCTGTCCTCAGAGCGCCGCCGCTTGCGGTGGTGGTGGCTCTCCTCGTGGTAGGAGACCAGGCTGCTCCTGCGCCTCTCGCGGCGCGGCAAGGTGGAGCTGTAGTGGGCACTCACTATCATGTCCTCGGTGGAGCCCCATCGATGTAGGTATGAGGGGATCCTGTCGCAGGTCCACATGTCGGTTTCGTCGTGGGAGTATCTTCTTGTAGGCGGCACCTGGAGGAAAGACACAGACCAAACACTTCAGAGCATAAGTATCTCTGACATCCTTTCAGGTACACTGACTTAGACGTACTAAACACTTCACTTGAAATAAGTTGTGTGATATAAACCAAATTTTTCGTGATTCAAAAACTGCATTGGTGTAAATATTTCAGCTGATGTCTAAAATATCTGACATGTTTGGGTAAGATCCTACAAGTAGTTAACGTAAATTCAGGATCTCTGGACCAATTTAATCTTTAAGTATTTGATAAATCCCTCAGAATACAAAATCATTTTTAACACAGATTGACATGATAACAGTAGTAGCTTTCTCTAAAATTAAGAGATGCAAAATATTAAAGCTTAACGTGCCTACATGATATACTCACATTCTGCTCTGACAATTATGCAAGAGACAGAGGGTTTGTCAAGGTGACGTCAAGAGCCTCAAGACTGATATCAGCCTGCCCCCCTGTGGTGGCTTTCGGTAAATGCAGAGAAATTAAACAGCAGACGATACAGTAGCATTGAATGACTTAAGTGGGAGATCTGAACAGCAGAGGGCAGCACAAGCTTTAGAGTGACTGGAGATGCAGGACAGACTTGGAAGGATGGACAGAGAACCGATAAAGCAAAGGAAGCTTTATTCTGTGCTACTTGAGAGGCAAACAGCATTTCTTATTGTTAAATATCTGAAATATTTTGCCGATTCCTGTTTTTAGTGCACTTGAAGCCTTTCACACTTCAGTTACCCTGTCATTTAAATCACGGCGTATTCAAACACTGAAAGACGAAACTGGATATTAGTCTACTGTAAAGTGAATATGACACAGAGAGGATAGATGAGGGAATGAACTGTTACGATGGAGGGATGGCTACTGTATACATCTCTGTTCCAAGATTTCTTAAAACAATCAAATTGAAGGGAGAATCCCATCAGCGCACTGTTGTTTGAGATGTCCATAACAATACTGGACATCTGGTGTGCTGAACCAATTTACATTTTTTGTCCAACAAAGTAGCATGTCACTACTTGGGCCTCAGACTGCCCATGTCCAATAGTTTCTTACAAAGATGACACAGTATGTTTGTTAAGTTAATATTGTGTGAGTTGAATCATGTTCAATAATATCTTCACCACAGTCTTTCTAGGACAAGTCGAGTAATTCAACATCTTCCAATTTGTAACCATATGAATCATACTGGGCCAAATGCTGTAGGTCAAATGCTTGAGACTAATATTGGAGTCAAATAGAAATAAACATTTCCTTGACTTGCCCTAGAATGCTGATTGCTAGTTCAAGCTTTTTTGTTAATGCAGGCTGAAAATGAGCATTTCGCAGCTCTGCATCCCACTGGTATGGATGCTGGATCCAATGAACACAATGCTTTTGGGCAGAGCATGAGCAGATGTTATCATTGTTTTCCTGAAGCCTTGAGGGACTCCTGAAATGTAGAAGGTAAGTCGGTTACTACACTCTTACCCTCTTGCACTAACAATGTACTAAACTCCTTGTAGGTCCAAAACTAGGACATCTAATGTGTTGATGGTACTGCTGATGGTCATATTTACCAAACATTAGTCAGCCTGAGTGCATTTTGAATCCAAGTAAACAAAAGGAAAAAAAGAAAAAAAAGAAATCTGAATTAAATAAAAGGCAAAAAAATGAAATCTCCCAAATCAGACAGCAACACAAAATGTCTAATTATTTCAGAAAATTCAATCAGGATGCCGTATAGGCACACAAGCCCATTCCATCATGCAAATTAGCAATGAAATCAAATTAACTGATCAAATGAAAGAAAGAAAAATCAATAAAAAATATACCTGCAAATACTGCATTTTATCTTCCTGTTGTTCCCTCAATGGATACCCTTGCAGAACCCCCCTTTCTAAGGTTGAGAACTCATACTTGGCATTACGGTCTATCGTCGCGATTTCAGGCGCCGAGCTATAGTCATATGGTCTGTCATATATTAAGTCGGCATGAATTCCTCCATCTTGGCTGTTTTCTGCGAAGTGCAGAAAAGCACGGGCGTCAGGATTAGAGAGCAAAGGACTCCATACACAAGACAGACAGACAGACAGACGGAAAAGATAAGAGAGACAAGTTCAATTGTTCTCTGATTTGTTGACTTTTCCTGCGCGTCTTCTTCGGACTTTAAATCTGAGATATATATTTTTAAAAAAGGAAATTTTGCAACTAATAAATAAATAAGCAAGAACTTAAATCAAATGTTATCAAATGCAGTGAGACAGCTTCCAATTGGTTTTGAAACCAAACTATATGGTTACAGAAAAATTTGAGAGCTTACATTCTGAGCAAAAATATTAATGACTATCTAGAAACACCCATCGACAAAGAAATGTTTCCCCAATTATGGCATTTATGTTCATTACAGATCAGTTGTGCATGGGTGCAAAATGCAGGTCTTGAGGAAAATGCTGGCTAAAAGGATGAAAGATGACAAAAGCTATTTGCACAGCCAGATTTGCATGCAAGTCGGTAGCTTTGGAAAGACAGGAAACAGTCCTTATACATACAACTGTGATGGGTTATACATGGGAAGCCCTCTGGAAGAAAAGCAGAGAACTGGCAGTGTTAATTATCACACAGAATATTTTCTGCCCCGTGTCGTTTTATGGTTCCTGTTGGACAATGAGCTGCTCTGATGAAGGGTGCCAAAAGAGGGAGAGGATCAAAGGTTTGGAGGGTTAGCCACAGGTGAGAAGGGTTTCAGATTGGTTTGAGTTTAAACAGTGCCAATACTGGAGAAAAGGACACAGACGTCTATACTGTCAGAACACTGAAAGAGGAGTAAATGCTATGATTATCATGTGACCTAATTTTGGGACCAGATTTCGTTGAAGTGTCTGTGATTCCTTCATGCAAGGTTTCACTCCTTGTGCCCCTATAGGTGATTTTCTGTAGTATAAGATGTAGGTCTCTTATCTTATCTTAGACAGACATTAAATAGATTCTGTAGGATTGTTACCTATGACCAGGAAGTTGTGGGTTAAAATCCCACAAATAACAACAATGAAAAACAAATTAAATGAAAGTTTAAAAAAATAATCAAAATAAAATAACACATGAAATAGTTCACTCTATTTGTGTTGAGGTTTATCACTGGGAAAAAATAAATAGAACCAGATACTTCATCTTTTTCTGACTTGAGGGAAATATGACCATCAAAGTGACGTGAAAATGCCTCTCAGCTTTGCATTATTTGTTCAACTCTGGAGTCTAATGGGGAACCATAGGTTTCAATACCCAGCCATAATAAGCTAAGAGAAGACAGTTCTACTTAAAACACGAAACATTGCAGTCCTTTGTCCAGCAGTAGTTTTCATAAGATAGTTAAAGCAACGTGCATTAGAATACACAGCATTTACACAGAAGGCCTGTTTTCCTGTACAGTTGAATTACACAGACACTTGTCCCTCCAGTTTTATCTCCTGACAACCAAGGTCACATGATAGGTCACATGATAACATTTGACCACTTATTTCAGACCATGTTGCACCAGAGACAACAAGTGATAAAGTTCACTCTAAATATAAATTATACTGAGTATTGTTTCATTTAATTTGAACAGATATGTCTAAAAAATTGTAAAAACATGGCACTTTGAATTAGTTGTTTTTCAGTTACTCCTTTCATTACGTTAATGACATCTATTTCCATATTTGGTCGGAACAGACGGCCCAGCTTAAAGGCTGTTCATTCTGCACTAAATAAGGATAAATGTAATCAGTTGTTGCATATCTTTGAGCTCTGGGATTTTATTAGGTCACTTTTATATGAGTACAGTCATGAACAGTGGATTAAAGAATAAGTCATACTTTATCCCATGCTATAAATGTTTTCGGAATTCACTCCCTCTATTTTGCAAGTATAACTATTTCCGAGTCTTAGACAAATGTCCCAAAGACGTTAAGGGAATTCCTTTTTTCTCAGATGTTTGCTAAACACAGCCTAGTGGTGGACATTAGGGCTTCTCTATTCAGATGTGATCTCTCATCTTTAACTGCAGCAGTACACTATCTGTGCTTTCATTTCAAGGTGGATCACCATGTGGTACAAACTACGTTCAGAGCCTTCAAGGCCAAAGCAGTTTGACCACATCTTTACAAAGAGTTTAAACCCAACTCTTTGTGTTCTTACAGACCACATTGAGGGATTAGGAATCTGTATAAATGATCAAATCATCAGGTGAAGAGATGGGGAAAGGCAGGTGGGACAGGAGGGAGATGCCTGACTGCAGCTTACCCTCATCCACGTCATCATTGGACATAATTGCGACACACTTCTCCCAAACCATGCGGATGTCAGCCCGGTAGCGGTCACAAGCCCAGAGGAACATGGGCAGCAGAATGGACTGAGCAATGGAGCACCAAAGCACACACAACACCATCCAGTTGTAGGAGCGATCGAACTTCAGACTGGCAAAGCTTACCACCTGTGCAAAAACAACATAATCACTGTCAACAGAGCAGACTTGGGCTTATTAAGACACAAATATTAACATTCAAATTACCTTGATAATAATGTTAATTTTTTAGACTGACTTTTAAAAAAATATTTATATAGTACCAAAGATGTTACTTAGATAGTCTTCCACTTCGATAAATACAGTTATTTATTATTTAAATGCGTATGGAAGACTTAATAATCTGTAAGAAAGGCTGCCAATGCCAATGAGGATAATCAGACCCTTTTTTAAAAAAAAATTATTACTTGGCTGCATAATGCACAGGTTGAATAAGTAGAGTGTGTGGACACGTCACATAGGCTATTAAATAGGTATCACCTCGTTCCTGGTGTAAACATAAACAAGTTAATGTGCCAGCTAACACACTACGTTTAACTGTCACATTAACAGTTCAGAAACTAAACTGTACTCTCGTTATGTGCTCATTCGCCTGTGAAGAAAATACATATTACAGATTTAAATCCACTGAGAATATATTGTTTATGGGGAATGTATCTAGCAAAACATGATCTGTATTCAGGCAAATGTTAATGCTACACTATGCATTACCTTACTACGTTACATTACATGTGACTGAGAATAGTCCTACTGGTCACAGTCGAAGAAAAATCCTGTAGACCGTACACTCATACAAGCATCAACAAAGAAGTTTTATTTTTTATTCAGAAAAAAGCGTTTTTTGGTATTTAGGCTAACATGCTCACAGCTGAGGGTTTTAATGAGCTTCATCTTCAGATCCAGCCCTATCCAGTCCAAACTGGCACAGGAAAATAGGCACATATTGAAGTTGTGGCATAATAACATCCTCAAAAAGCAGCAAAGTATACCGCTGTCAATGCTAATACATTCATATCAATAATCTCTCCTCCTTAAGTAGCGGCCTAAACCTATCTCTTTATACCCGCTTCACAGGATGGGTTCCCTCATCCAAAGTTTTAGTATTTTGCAAACATGTGGCGCAGGGTTACCAGTACACAGCAAAGCTCTTTTCATTTCCCGTACCAGTCTGACAAATAACATAAATCACACATCTACTATTCTATATCCATCTATCATGTTTCCTTCAAATGCACGCCTGCATAGAAATATTCTCTGTCAGGCTGTTCTCGATGCACACATTAATCCAACAGTGATCCCGGTCACATTTGAGCATAATGTAACCAGGCTCCGCACTAATTTTCCATATGTGTTTCTATGTTTTTTTCTCCTTCAGAAAATATAGGTTTTTTTTTTTTACTCGTGTCTCTGATTCCATTACTCAGTATTACTCTGTGTTACACAATGTAGTTTAAAACAAAAAACTCTTGTATTTGTTGCAGCTTTCCATGCATTTAAATAGCTCATTAGACCGGGCCCTAAAGACAGCGGGCACCCTTTGCCGTTTCTGTTACTGAAACAGAATCCTTTGGCCGCAATATACACTACCCACTATGTTTTGTATACTCTCTCTAAATAAACTCTTTCATCAAATTTTAGCAGAAACAAAAATGCAATGCAATCTCTTGATTCAAGAATACAGATAGAATTTCTGATACAATAATATGGCTATGTTTTTAACTTAGTCTGCATTTCAAACAGACACCAAAAGCAGCCATTTCCAATGATGATACTGGCAATATAAAGAGGTCTAATACAAAAGAGCTACCAGTCAAATTATCAAAAGACTTGTTTTGTCTGAGTGAGAAGAAGATGCTCTGCTGACCCTCTGCTCCTGAAGAATGGTGCAACAAACAGGAAAACAATTACATAACTTTTAGCCAAGATCCACAAGCTGTGAGTGTCCCAACAACAAGAATCTTGTTGTAAATTTATAGATTCGAGGAAAGGAGAGAAAAAACTGTGATCTAGCTTTTTAAAAATAAATGAGGACCTAAGGGTGGAATTTAAAAGCAAAATGAAGACATGGTGAAACGGTATTTCCGCCTAAACCGACGTTTCAAGATTGAATTAATTTCCTGTTACACACCAATGCAAAACGAAAGTGAAGACAAAGCACCTGAAGAACCTAGGGGAAAAAATGGTTGAAAATACAGAAAACAATACAAAAAGGCAGTGAAATGGAAAACAAAGCAGGCAGGCATCCAACATACTAACACCAGGAGGTGGGAGGCTTTTATGAATGTGTTTAACAGCTTTAATTCAAAACAGAGAGAAGTCCCGACCGGTGTTTTTGTCATGCGACTGTTGATGATGTTGTGATGTTTGAAAGAGCATCATTCACAATTATTTCAGGCCCCTTTAGGCAGGAAACTCACCAGTATGGGAAAGCCAGTCAGGAAGTCGTAGATGAAGACAATGCCACTGATCAGGTAGGTGATCTGCAGTGAAGTCTTCAGAGGCTCCGAGCCATCGATGGACGACCTGCGCTTCCCCTGAGCGTCCTCCACCACAATGGTGGGGACATTGAACTTGTTCTTGTCAGCTTTGTGGCCTGCCTGAATGGAAAAGGTCTGGAAGAGAGCAATGCCAATGCAGATCACACCCATGGTCACGCTGCCACCGATCAGCAGCAGAAAGCAGACGCCGAAGCCCAGGCCGATCTCTGTCACAATGAATCTGCAATCGGAGGTGTAGAAGCGGTCGAGGGTGTCGTGCCAGCCCACTGCTGGGAGCGTGGAGAGGATGAAGGACACCATCCAGATGCCCATCACGGTGTGAACTGCCTGCTTCTTGGTGTTACTTAACCTGAAAGCACAACCACAGATTTTTTTTTTTCTTACATCAAGCCAATCACGGCCTTAGTTTCTGCTGTGCAGGTGCTGTAGCTCATGTTACAAGGAAGGAAGAAAGTCTGGTCAGTAAAATCTCAATAATACTTCAGCATAAATGGCATTTGCATCCTTAATATCAAGAACAGGATAAGGATCAGGCTTGAAGCTGTGCGAGTGATATTTTCCCATAAATAGAACCTTTAAATAATATGTATGAGAAGATGGACTGTATATGGTGTACATAATACATCCACATAACTCAAAGCTGTACGTATACGGTTATAGGTCAACATTAACAGCTGTTGTGTTCTAAAGAGTATATTGAGGGTGTTGAGGGCTAATGTTTGTAAACTTTGTTCAATACTGGATGTTGTTTTGAGCTTATATCTGCACATATGAGCACAAAGGAGCAATATCACATATAAAGTGACTATCTGCAGATGAATGTGGAGGGAATGGATTCTTTGCTGACGGCAGAAGATGACTTTCCTCCAGTCAATTCATTTGTCATCCAAGTCTATTTCAGCATGAAAGGGCTCCCATTTCCTTTCACCTCCAAGTAACTGTTACAATGAAGAATTTTCTCAGTATGTTTGTGTCCTCTGGTGGTGTGGCACTTAGCGAGGTTTGCAGCACATGCGCATCTAAAAATACTGCATGCTGTTCTCATTTCCATGACTTCATGGAAGATGGTGCTATCCTGCCAAGACATTTGCACGTAAAGTTCTGCCGAGCAGCTCAAAGCGTTAGGAGCCAATCATAAACCTGAACCAGTCCCTTTTCAGCTTCAGGGCTACGTATAGCTGCAAGAAAAACATCTGGGAACACTTTGGAATGACAACGATGTTTTTAGCAACAACTCTAGGCAAGGATAAAATTGCCAAGTGACAAACAGAGCACAACACGCAATCTGTTAGATGTGGTAAAGAGACCGAGGTTTACCTCGTTTACCGTGTATCTCACACATGGGAAATGCTGTGGGATTGATCAAACTTTCAAAATGGCCACCCGGTGGTAAGAGATTGTTATGTGGACAGATTCATTTATTTTATAGGAAATTCTTCATGTCAGAGTTGCTGATCTATGTTTGGGAGGAAACAGGCACAGTACAGAAACTAAAATGGTCATCTAGCAGTCAAACCTGGTGGTAGGAACACTGTATCTTGGAGGTGTTTGTAACCTAAGCGCCTGTATTTTATGCAATGCGTGAGTAAATGATGTGCTGTGTGAAGAAAGTAAGTCAAAGGTATATCAGGTTGGAAGTCCATGAACTTACGCTCAAGAGGTTGGTTGACCAATAACATTACTGAATGACAAAGTCAGAGTTCTGACTTCAAACCAGTGAAAAGATTTAAAAAGATCTTCCTCCAGGATGTAAATAAACATGTGACAGAGAGTGTTGAAATTCAGACACTTTACAGGGTTTCCAGTGTTCCCATGCATGCTTTAGCCGGCTCTGAGAGCGATTACTGCTCCATAAACCCATGATAGCAAACTAACATCACAGTTCTGACTGAGGAACAGATCAGTGACTGGGTAATTAATTCAACACTTAAGTGACAAATCTTTTCTTGCAAGTACAAAAAAAAAGGAACTCCTAATAGCATCTAAATGTTTTTGATTTTGTTAATTGTGATTACATCATTTCTTAAGAAGCAGATTAAACAATGGGAAATCGTATCCCTGGCAGAATTAGTTTCTCCGGCTTTGTGCTCAGTTCCTTCTCCGTTTAGTGTCAGCTGTCCTTGGGCACTCTCAGCAGGAGACAAAATCTGTCTCCCTAAAAGAAGCAGAGCACATGTCGCTTTTGTTTTTCTTCACCCTCTATATAAATTCTCTGGAGGAGCACTGGTTAGATTAAGAAAATCTGCCTTTGCACATAAAAACTGAGAGAAATATATTAGCATGGATGTACCAACATAGTGTCAATGGAAAAGATGGGGCAGCAGTCGCCTCTATCTTTGCACTATGGCCTTTGCAAAGACAAGTTGGCCTTGTTGTCACAGTGAGTAATAATGCTAGCCCTTCCTGCATGTGCCTGAGGTACATGGGAGGTTACGTCACCAAGCTGTATGAATCTATTACTTGTAAGAGAGAGAGCAAATAACTCCTATGAGATAGTGAGCGCCGGGTGATGAGAACAGCTGCCTAAGTACAAGGTTGGAATTCATAATTCAGGGCTTCAGAGTATGTTAATGTCAGAGACAAGGCAGCCACGCTCGCTCAGCAGGGCGGACACCAAGCGATTTAAATGAAAGATGAACGGCAATTACACAGAGCACCACCTGAGCTTCACTTCCCCCATATCATTGTCGAAAGGGACTTGGAAACAAAAAAAAAAAAAAAAAAAAAAAAAAAAAAATCGCCGAGTGTATATTTAATGCTTCCAGACACAAGATAAGAGGGCATATAGGCAGATGAGTAAGGGAACAGACAAGAAGGATACAAAGTAAAACCTAATATCTCAGTGGACATCAGCCAGCAGTGGCAGCTGCACAGGCAGCACAGATAGCAAGACCGAGCATAGATTTCAAAGGACGTTTGCATATCTTATTGAACATCTACTTGTTTGCAAAATTGGCCAAGCTGAGCGAGGACTGTAGCCTGATACCACAAGCAGTACAGTCACTCTGTTTTTCAGCACAGGAGAAACGGGGGGGCTCAACATAGCCGTCTGCGCCCCACGTGCTAGGACACTGGTTTAAGCTTCGTTTCAAGAACCCACAGAGTAGCTTGTATTGTGGACATCTAAATGCTGATTTCATGTGTTCTGACTCTGGAAACGCATTCAGCTGAAAATGATTGTTCTTCGCCTGATGGCCAGCAAGCAGAAATCTGCAAAGCCACGAATAACAGCTGAATTGCAACACAGCCAAGACCTCGGGGTTGTGAGGGGTTCTTTGACTGCACAAATTAGGAAAAAACCTTGCACTGGTGATTGTATGTGGTGAAAAAATATCTGTAGTGCATCCGTCAGATAATAGCTGCTTTTTAATATTCATCAGCAGGTCAAAAAGAAGTTGCATCGGTTAATTTTCAAATACAAATACAGCGTCAGAATCTTTACAACAGCATCCTCCTAAAGCATGTGATTTTCTGTGAGACAGCAGATGGCTTCAGGATCTAACGAGACCAAGATGGTGTCAGAATGGACTTGATGCTATCAATGTGTAGCAAGCCTAATCTGAAATATGCAGTGTTGCTCAGTAATATCATATGTTGTGAGAAACCAAATGAAGGCAGAAGCTGATGCTGGCAGATGCTTAGTCTGGAGAGTTTGCCATGGTGATACCCTGAATAAGTGCAACCAGCAGATGTGTTGGCAGGAGAGAGATTTCACCTGATGCAGCACAGCGCCTCTGAAAAACTGTAAACACCCTGACAGCTGGCATTTGTCTAAACATTTCCACAGACGATCTTAGGAATCTGCTCCAAAAGAGTCAGATTGTGTCTTTGGCAGCCTTTGTGTTTATTTGCAGGGAGAAAGAATATTTACTAAATATACTGTAAAGATTTAGTTTAAAAAGGAAGGTTGAATGCAGAAAAAGGGAACCAGGATTAAATCTAAATGTTGTTAAATCCTTAGTACATATGGATTTTTTTTTTTACAGATAAAAAAAAAACCCCAAAATAATGTTATAATATTGTTGAAGGATGTGCAAAATATGCACTTTGTTAAAATAAGCAACATGGTAAAAACAGTTGGGCCTCTTTATATCACAACTTACATGTTTACATTTTTCTCCTCTTGAGTCTGGAGTAAATTCGAGGAACAAATCATGGGCATTTTCACAGCAACCATTTCCTCAGAGGAGCAGTTGCAACAACAAATGCTCACAGTGAGGACAGAAGTGTAGCTCGGTTTCAGCAACACGCCTTTTTCAATGCTGTGAGCACCGCTTTACCTTCTTTAGGGTGCAAGCTGACATCGGCAGAAAGAGGATGTGTGAAAACCGGCAGTGAGTAAACAAAAGCTGATTTCTCAACAATATGGTACCTGGCCTAGCATTGAAATAGTTTAAAATTAGCTCAGAAATCTCAGCCAACCTTAATTCTGAGCACAGCGACATTGCAGCAGTTTGCGGCGTGAGAACTGGAGGGCATACCTGTAGTTCACAGGCCAGCGAACCATCCACATGCGGTGATAGGAGAGTGAGGTGACGGAGAAGCAGGTGACCAGAGTGAGAGTATAGAAGGTCGAAACAAACACCTTGCACAGACCCTCGTTCCACTCATAGTTGGAGTGCTGGCGCCGCAGCGTTATGACGCAGTACATGGTGATGGGGATGGCCATGTTGAGGATGTGTGTGCCTGCAAGGGTGCAGATGAGGAACTCAAGCGGCTTCCACTTTTTCTGCTTCGCACTGACGCTAAGAATGCTCCAGGTGTTGGCCAGGATGGACACGCCTGAGCAGACCAGCCAAGCCAGCGTGTTGGCGCTAATGACATCATCCTTCATGGTGGTTACCTCATCCACCATGTTGTAACGGTGCAGGGCGGAGCCTGGGGGGGCCGCAAGGAGCTGTTGGCGAGAGCAGGTACACACAAGGAGAAGGAGGTGGTGGCCACGGGCAGGAGCGGGCGCAGGGCGTGGAAGGAGGCAGGCATCCTATCTGGGTGGACGTGTACTCTCCATGGATTGAGCGGAGCGGAAAGGATGCGGTCGTGTTCCAACACAGCAGGGTGTTTGGAGGGGAGGACGGCCGAGCTAAGCCAGGTCCCTTACAGGTGTGACACTGGAGAAGGGGAGGGAGAAAAGACAGAGGTCAGAGTCAGAAAAGCAAGGATGGAATGAAAACTCCAAAATAATCTCGAAAAGAGTCATGCTAATCACAACAGTTCACTACCGAATTACTGAATCATCCATTTGGGGTGGGGAACATAACAATAATCACACAGCAGCAGCTATTTCAAACCAACACTTAAACCAACACAGCCACGCAACATACTCAGCCAATAAATATTACTCTGCAGGATGTTTCCTTTTTTGGTGTGTAAAAGGGCACACAGAGTTCCAGCCGAATGTTTTCTAAGATTCACTATGGACACAACAGCCGGATAGTCTCAGTCAGAGTTATTAACCCAAAAACTGTCACAGTTTTTAGACATTGTGTGGTTGATATGAACTGGGTTGTCCTCCTACAGCCTCAGTGTAGCACATCTCTTTCAAATAGGACAGAAAGGCAAAAAAATCCTAAGATGGGTTGTCACAAGCAGCAATCATACGGACTCAAGACATACTCTGAAACATATACTGTAGAGGGTCATTTCCAGTGTGGCACAGCTCAGAGGACACAATCAGCACCAAAGGATAACTTTGGTTCCCCTGCTGTGCAGTGAAAAATGCTTGGCACAGCTGGACCATGTTGTCACATCCACTTTCTGTCTTTCGGCTTGTCCGAACACTGAGATGCTGCAGGCAGGACCCCTGAGAGCGGACACTGGAAATGACAAAAACTGTGTCATTATCACCCTGCCCAAACTTTCACTGATCTAATTCTCACTCTCTCCGATGCAATAGCACTCTAAATATCTTTCAGGAAGTCTTGGTCCTGCTCATGCAAGTTCTCTAATGCTCCTGGGAATCTGACCACAAAAAAATGAACAAAATGTGGTCCTCTCACAAAGTTCAACCAAAATCAGGCTTCATGGAACATCTCAAATGTAAAGACTCTTCTCTGTTTTGACATTAAAAACATGAGGCAGACAACATGGATAGGTGGTGAAGATGTATGTCACAGAAACCAAATCTTTCCTGTAATGACACCTCTATGCTCAGATTTACCATCTGCAGCTACAATTACTATAATGTAAGAGGAAGAACTTCATCCAAGCAGCATTTACCATAAGGATTAACAAAAAAAGCACTGGATTCACATGCGTATCAAAAAATAAAAATAAAAGGAGGGAGGGAGGGAGGGAGGGAGAGAGAAAGAAAACATGGAACCAGTCTGGGGCATAAAACAGAATGATTCATAGTTCCGTAGATCCAGAAATCCCCAGGTGGCTGGGCTGAGCTGAGCCAGAGTCTGTCTGTTGATTGAACAGAAACCACAGCTGAATCGAACAACAGAAACTGCAGCAGTGTGGCATCCTGACCCAAATAATCCAACTCTTCAACAGGTCCCATGAGGCACAGATAGGAAAATACCATAAAACTATTTTGGTTTTTAGAAGAAACAAAAACAGATGCAGTAAACGCAACGAGGCTTTGAGGGAACATAAGGATTCCCCAATGGAGGAGGTTGCAGTCACAGCTAAGTCAACCACCAAAACCGCCATTCTGACCAAAACTTTGTGCCTATAACCAAGATGTCTTACAACCTGTGGTTAGATCTGATCAAACGTAAGTTCACTAAGTAAGTGACCATCACAAGCAGCTGCACCTGAATTTTCTCTGTTGGTCACCACTGCCTCCCTCGGTGTTCCCTTTTTCTGGGTCATCCTGACCTGTTCCCTTCAATTGGTAAAATGTGTAACAGCTGCACAGGAAATTGGAGTTAGGGAAATGAATTTGCTCATCTCTGCGTGGTCCTTAGTTGCAGTGACACAGATGGAAATCAACACTGCATTACATACTGCTCATGCTCATTCACCAACTTAGTCTGTATTTGTCCCTGTGCGAGTTAAAAATAGCTCCTTCACGCAAAGACGCATTCAGAAAGAAATGTGACTGGATTCCATGCTCTATAGAATAAATGTACACTTTTAAATGTATACATTCATACATTTGCTCTATACCAATATTGGTTATATATTCTCCAGATATATAAATCTAAAAAAGATCCACTCATACCCAGTGCACTACGTATCTAGCCAGGGCCATCTTTTTTAGAAAAATTAAATATAGCAAGGAGGAGAGAGCCCATTTGATCCCAACTGTAACCCATAGTTGAAAACAAGGATTTGGATTAAAGACTGTGCCAGTTCACAGTGTGATCAGCTATTTAGTATTTACCCTTTACCCCACCATGAGACCGTATTCCAGATACTCTTTTTAATGATGGTTACAACCAACAGGGTAGCTTTTTTAAAAATAAAAAGCCAACACAACATTCAATCATCCAAGGTATTTTGTCTAACAATCAAGATTGGAAGGGGAATATAACTTTACCAGTGCCATGCTCCAAATAAAATACAACTCATGTTTAAATGTAGGCTCAGCATATCAAAAACATTTCCAACACAGGCAGGGAGCAATGAAAAATCAACTTTAAAACCATTCTGCTCAATGACTCATACAGCTCAAGAGGGATAGAGACGGCTTTCAATTAGATGGAAGAAATTACAGCGAAGCCTAACATGGTCATCTCTGAATTTGTACAAGCGTTTTTTTTTCCGACCTTAGGGAATAGCTGGAAAGACAGTGGAGATCTTAAGAAGATGATATTTCTGGGTCATCTTTAATCTGCTTTACCTACGTGCGGCGACTGGATTTGGAGCTGGTTAACCTTTGCTGCTGGCTCATGTTGTCAGAACTGTGACTAAGAGCACATTTATAAAAACGCTGCTGGATTTGACTGAGCTCTCATATCACCTGCCGATGTCTGTGGACAAATGCCAGAGTAGCAGAGAGACTGCAACACGGGTTAGTATCAGGGGTCTGAACAAAAAAGTTAATTAATCTAATGGCTACAAAACACATCTGGATCCAACAGACTCTAATCCATATAATGTTAAATTCTCCAATCTTTTAACATGTCAACAAATACTTTACGGTATTATTCTCTCCTGATGATCTGTTTATATGTTGGAGGAAATCATATGATCAATCCATTTTCACATTTTTTTCAGAAAAATAAAGAACAACAATACATTTTAAGGAAGTACTATTCTCTGCAGAGGAGCAGAGGCAGCAGTGATGTCATCGCAGCTCTCAGAACAGCTACAGTGGTACAACGGGAGCAGCCGTGGTAGTGGGTTGTAGTTTTATTTAAACCATTGAGTGACGGGCCTCCCGACCACAGCAGAGCTAACAGCTCGATTGCCCTCACTCCCGTGGGCCTCCAAGCCAAATCTGTCCTCTACACAAGGGAAATCAACGCTGAGAATTACACACACATATACACACACACATACATGCGCGCGCGCAAACTGTAGACTTTCTCTCTTTAACACCAAGACACTGAATGTTAAATGAGTGGCACAGATTTGCTGTGCCACAGATAAAAGCAGGGTCAGACAACAAAAATGGGTCACGCATTTAAATAATAATTCATTTTACACTCTTTTTTTTTACCTACATGAACTGTTAACAAGGAGGTGAAATGTGAGGGATTGCTTTACAGCATCGACGACTTAATGATTCTTTTTTATGATTAAACTTTCCCTGTCGTCTAAAAACAAAGTCATTCCCCTCAGTTTACCTATTTGTATTAAACTTGATGGAACAAGAAGCATTGAACGTCCTTGTGATGATACTGTCCTTCAACCAGTGCTTATTTAACAGTGACTGAGTCTTTAATGAGCTGATATTGAAAGACTAATAAAGTGTAGGAGTCTCTTTTGTTCATAGAATGAAAACACAGAGGGATTTCAGTCATCCAGCTAACAAATGCTTGTGGGTTTTAACAATTAGACTTGAAGGAATTGTTGACAGAATGGAGATCTGAAGGAGGAAGTTCACGTGATCAACATTGGCTAAAGGATACAATGAATACAACATAGGATACAATGATATCTGAACAAGATCAATCACAAAAGAGATAATACAAAATACTAATCCTAGCATCTTTAAGGTGTCTGAATAGCTAATTTAAAAAAATAAACATGTCGCATATCAGAAACACCTGTTCAAGCAACCGTGACGACTTCTTTAACAAAACCATCAGCCAAATTTCTCATCTCATTGGGCGTGGCCCACAATGAGAACTGATGCTCGTGTGTGTTGTTTATCTCTTAGCTTCAATCGACTGCTACTGGAGTGGACTACTTTTGTAAGCTCCCCGTCGACATGAGTGATGCATGGGGTCTTGTTGCCCAAGCAGCCACTCATCTCCGGAGGTGTCAGAGAGGAAAATACTGTGCTCTAGAAGGCAGCACTGCTCTCCCAAGAGCACAGGCTGGCCATCCAATATTACACTTCTGATCCTTACAGATGACAGATGATATACTTTGAAAATAGTCAGCAGGAATACTGTCAGACAAGAAAAACGCTACTCCTCTGCACAGCACGAAAATATGGCCTTATGCACGTCAGTAGAAATTAACTTTCTTTTATTTATTTATTTTTTTTAAAGATTTTGTTGGCCTAGTGGCGTTTAATGACAGTAGTTTGACAGGAAAGGGGGGCAGAAATAGAGAGGGGGAGACCGGCGGGAAAGGGCGAGACCGGCGGGAAAGGGCCGTGGGCCGCACTCGGACCCAGGCCGCCCGCTTTTGAGGAGGTCCTCTCACATGGTCCGCCCGCTGTAACCGTTAAGCGACGCTGCGGCCCGAAATTAACTTTCTCTTAAACAAAAAAAACAGCACATGTCTTAATGATAAACATGTTTTTCTTGGCTGACAATATAACTTTATTTATTATTGCTTAGTTACGCTGCACGTTCTTTCTTGCATTTATTCATGCTTCCAATCAGGCACCCCTTTTACTTTATAAATACAGCTCAA